TTTTGCTGGGGTTTCTTTTCTCCTTTTCTTCATTTTCTTTGTGAAAAAGAAACGAAAACAAAAGTATCTGTCTCAATGTGATGATTAATTAGTTCTAGCTGATGACAGCGATAATACCGTAGCAGACACTTTGGTAAACACCTCTGAACTGAAACAGACAAGTAAGTCATCGTCAGTGATTACGGGGTTAGAGGTCGACGCCCACGTGACCTTGTCAAATCATGTCTGTCAGGCGAAGATCAAGACGTCATTGATTAGGTCAATGCGAGGGTCCGTAGAGCATAGATAAAATAATTTGAGAATCTTCCCGAGCTCTTATGAGGCTGCGAGTGTGTTCCTGATCTGTTTGAACTTACTCCATTGGGTCGTGGTGGTTGCAGGCCGTACACACGCAGCAGACAATCTCATGAGACAGTTGTAGTCTTTGTCTAGTCCTTTATGATTGGACGCATTCTCCTCCCGAGGCAAGGGATTTACTGACAACGAAAGACCGCGCGGAAATTCGTGACTCGATCGAAGCGTCTCTAGTAGTTAATAGGATTTATGCCTTTCTATTTAAGACTCCACTTAGAATAATATTCAATTTGCTCCAGATAGCATGGCGCCGCCACGACAAGACCATTTGATCCATAATGAAGATGTATATTGTAATAAAACGGGTTTTACCTCTTGAAACTCATCAATTTACCTGACCTTATTTCCACTCTCCACCCGTCAGGGGTCGGCGAAGTAGCCCAGTGGTTAAGCGTTCCCGCCTCACGACGAAGACCCGGGTTCGATTCCCCACATGGCTACAATGCGTGAAGCCCATTTCTGGTGTCCCCCGTCGCGGTATTACTTGAATATTGCTAAAAGCTGCACAAAATCAAACTCACTCACTCGAGCGCACGGCATTACGTTCTGTAAACTACAGTTATATCGAATTCAAAGGGACCACTAATTTTAGTTCGTTATTACCGTACATGTATTTTGTTGTACGCCTTTCGAATGATATGTACAAGTGGCCGGCACCCCCAAATATTTCGTTTTATTCTCTAGTTCGTTATGAGTGTATTCCTGCATGTCCTCGAGACTGCTACCACGAAGTAAATGTGTTATAGTCATTTTGTGACAGAGTTGCACAGTTTTAGGTTATTACACTCCAGATATTAAACAAATCTCGGCCACCCAGCCCGCTCGGTTGCTATGTGAGCAGGTCAGTCTTTTTCGGCCTCTGCACTTCGTCCAAAGCAGTGGGCAGTTAAAATGCAGCTGTTTGATAAGTTAGTAAAAGACATTTGACGGGCGAAATGTGTTTGAGTTCTGTGCCTGCTCCCTCAGTCGGTACCATTTGTAGAACCTGTTTATACCAAACACACTGGAAAAGACTTCAGCACACATACAGAGATACACACAATACTATAGCAAACGAAAAATATATGTGATGGTGGTTTATCTGATAGGTGCAGTTGTTTTCTTGTTGTTTTAGTATTGCCCCTATTTCCTTTATTGTTTGGTTAAATCCAATTTTCTAAGGTAAACAGTGTCTTTCCGTTGACCGGAAGTTCATAACATTACGATTTGTTCCAGAACATTTTATTCTTTTGTTTTTATTTTCCATTAACGAAAACCATTCAGGCGAAATCCCAGTTTTATCAATGTGTGACAGCTATTTTGATGTCTGTTTCTTCTTTGATGGCACATGACTGGCAATTTCTTTGTCTCTTTTCCTCTCATGTCGTAAAACAAATGTAATCTTGAAGAAATGTATGACTAGACGGTGGTAGCACATGGCCAGTAAATTAGTCACATGATCTTAAGTAAGAGAGTACTTGACAGACAGACAGACAGACAGACAATACTTTATTACCTTAAAAGGAATTCGTTTTAGATCACAGAGCTTGACAAAAATACAAATGAATGGCAACATACAATATGAAATTGCTATAAACTTGAAAAGAGATAATATGTGCTTAAATATAATTAAATGAATAAGCTGATAACTGGACATTCAACATTTGTTTAAAATTGCAATACTTTGAGGTACAAAAGACGTTCGAGGTCGTTTAGTCTTCGTGATTGGCACTGTGTAGCGGTGTCCCGAAGGTAAAAGCTTATAAATACTCTGGATTTAAAACATGTGTTGTGTCATTAATGATTATTTCAGACGTTAAAAGCACTTGCCGCTCATAGAGAACTGAAAGATTATCGAAAGTGACCCCCGGTTATTTTACTAGCTGTATTTACAATTTTGTTAAGTTTTGATTTGTTTCTGCCTGAAAGAGACTCGAACCAGGACTGAGAAGAAAAGGTGAGTATACTCTGAATAAAAGTGGTATAAAACAAGATCATAACAGATTGGGAAACATTAAAAGATCGCAATTTGCGCATTAGATGGAGACGTTGTTGACATTTACTGTACAGGGCATCTGTGTTGGTGTTCCACGTTAACCTGCTATCAATAAAAGTTCCAAGGTACTTGTATTCAGTGACTGTCTCAATTGGTTCATCATTAATGAACAAAGGTGGTACTGTTGGGGAGTTAATTCTGAAATCAATACAGAGTTCATTTGTCTTCTTCACATTTAAAATCAAATGATTCTCTGTACACCATGATGTGAAATTCTTTACAATATCTCTGTATCGTCGCTCTAGTTCGTAATCATACATCTTATCAACAATGGCTGCATCATCAGCAAACTTCACATTTACTTTCTACCCCGCTTGTGCAGTCATTGCTAAAAGAGGCGTAAAACTAAACTCAGTCAGTCAGAGTGTATAGAGTGAACAGAACTGGTGACATAACACGACCTTGCGGCACTCCTGTGTTGACAACCTTCATGTCCGATACGCTGTCGTTTACTTTCACACATTGAAATCTTGCATGGAGGAAATCTCCGATCCATCTAATCAGTTGTGAATTCACTCCCATAGTTGGCAGCTTTCGTACGATGATGTGGGGTTGGAGGCTGAAGAAAAGTCAACGAACAGTATTCTAATGAAAGGTGACCGTGTTCTGCAGATCAATGTCTGAGGTGCTATCAACGTGGCACATGTAACAGACTTGGTGTGTCGAAATATTACCTCTTCACGACGCATTAAATGGGTACTCGGTGCCAATAGAGCCTCCCAGGTGCTTAGGTTGTACACCTCCCAGGGAGCTGAAAATGAAAATTGAACACACTGATACAATGACCGGGATAATATTAAGATCTTTCATGTCTTGAGCTTTAAAAAATATTAAAATGTGCCATACAAATTCGGAATACAAAGAAATACCTTCTATAATCCAGGATAGCGTTATACCTGTGATATGACTGACAATAAATTAAACTCATCACGACTCACAAGCTTAGTGATTCACGAAATGATCTCGGGACAAAATAATGACTCCGCTCATATTGCGTTTTTCAGACTATTATCCAGGATATTGCTCACTTCTTATCTCCCATACAATCATCGATATCCGCAATACCTTCTGGTTTTACCGGTTGTAACCCTACAACAATAATCAGACAACTGACATCCCCAACCCGGCTATAAGCCCACCTCCTTCCGACACTATTATCAGTTTTATCCCTTCAGAGCGATATCAAGGTGCTGGACACTTTTTGACAACTGTTTCGAGAAAGCTTTTGTTAAAATTGCATGAATGACAATTGACAAGAGGAACCAAAAGTCGCTCGAGGCATTGAAACAGTTGTAGGAAAGTAGCAAGAGGGACGCTTTCTGTTTAAAGCGATGTAATTTTTTAGGAGAAAAAATCCAATTTCTTCAAATCAATATTTAAGAATTTCCTTTCGTTCTTCAGTAAAATCCCCTTGCGAGTCCTGTTTTTGGTATAGTGATGCTGTAAATGAATAGTCTATGAGATGAGTAATGAAAAACGTTTTAAATTCAAAATATTTCAATCACAATTAAACGAAACGTAATTCTCGATCATATGACTGATGATGTTGAAGATGAGACGTATAGCTTGGTCACAATTGGACGAGGACTTTGATGAAAACACGAATAAAATTCAGCTGATAACGTCTCTTTTATCCAAACCCCATCGACCACTGGTAACGATTTCACTTCCAGGATGAGTCAATTTGATAAAATATCCGATGCCCTCAATTAACACATAATCAAAATTCGAATTCGTTTTATTTCCAGGGGTCATACTGAAATTGAACATCCCTAATTCGTCATCACGAGAGGGGTTGCTGGCGCCACCGCTACTTATGATCGCTGGAGGATGGAAAAAAAGGGGGTGGCGTTTCGGCGTCGATTCTTGTGACTTTATAGAGCTTCTGTCATAGAATAAGAACATACATCATATGTGATAAGCACATGCAGTGTCTCCTGGTTGAGTGCTTTTGCTGTTCACCCAGCAGTGAATGGGTACCCGTTAGGAGGAGACGGTTACTGTTGGTCTTATAACGCTTCACGGGCAGCTGCTGTTGTATATTCCCATGGAATTCAGAACAATAACCGAATCAGATAATTCTGACTCATTGAGTGTGGTCACCATATAACATGCTCTCGTGGGTGAAGTTGGTGCAATAGGCATTTACACACCCCTACAGTACCATGGCTTGATGTGGGAGGTTAACCTAAGTGGTACACTTCCTGAAATCCATGAGTATAACAAAGAAAGATAGGTATACAAGTTGTACCATTGCTTGATGTGAATTAAGACCGAGGTGATGCAAGCCTCAGAGGTGACTTTCGTAAAATCTATGAACAGTTGCACGCACCTGACCGACCAGTTTCATATACCAACGCAACAATTTGCGCTTAGGTGTCTACAGAAACATCTGAAGCCAAAGTATTCGTGCAAACTAATCAAACATAATTACTATTTAACTCCAATGCCTCCTTCATTTTTAACATAAAATCTCTATCTGTAATGCTGCAATAACTATCTAAATGACGCCTGAAGTGATAGGGATGCAACAGAGCATTTCAATAAAAGCTGCGAAACCATTTTAAGAAAACGCCACAAAACATACGACATATCAGATTCCACTGAACAGGCCCGTCTCTACCACGCACATGTGTTCATGAATGGAGTGAACACACCAGGTTTTGTCAAATGGTGCGTTCACTCTGCTGCACTAGTGGCACCTGTCGTCAATGGAGTTGACACGAGAAACACACGCCTATAATGTACAAGTCGATACAGAGCTTTGCTTGTTTGTTATTTAATGTTGCACTGAACATTATTCTAGTTACATGACTGTCATAAATATACATACGAGGTATGTTTTAAAAAACCTAGGCACTGGCATTGGCACTGACATAGGGAATGAATAATTGGTTCGATGTTTTCTTTGGAATGCTAGACTATCGTATAGATCTCGTGTTTATCCCCTTGCAATATCCTTGTAATATCTGAGTTGAGAAAAGCCTCCCTTCTCCTTTACTGTATAAGGAAATGCTTCATGGACTATCCCTTTTTATTTCCTGAAAGCCTGAGGAACACTGGTCGTAATGCACTAAAGCCTTTAAATGTCACAAGACTAACTAGGTCTTTCTTCAAGCCACTTTGAAGGCAGACATTTCACACTAACAATATTCGAATTACATGTCAGTTTCATTTGACTTTCAGCTTCCTCATTCAAAACGTGGAGGGGAAAAAGGTGATTTATCGTTGAACAACTTTCTAAAAACTCTACAATGTGAGCTGTTTCATCACTGTATTCTATAAAGTAACATCTGAAGAGCACAATTCGCCATTTCATGTTATGTCAGAGCTTGACAAAGTCTTTAGTTTCTTAAGCCCTCCAGTGCAGATTGGTCAATCAGATCTATACAACATATTTAGCTTCAATATTGTTGAGTGCGGCGTTAGACAACCAAATAAAAAGAAATTCTCATTTCAGGTTCTTAATGTTCTCGTTTCCCCGAAAATAGCGTTGGTGAAATGAAACAAAATAAAGTTTATTGGATGATGTTCCTTTAGATGAGGGTGTTATAGTTGTGTTTGGGAAACTACATTTGCAGACCCTTGCAGACATCCATCTAGAGAATGAGTGGACAACGACTGAAGCAGGAGATGACTTTCTTCACCGACTAGATGATGGCAACATTTGCTCTTCTTCACCAGCAAGAATATAGAGCTTCTCTCTGCAGCATATGTGATCTTTGCAGATGGTACATTCTCGTCTTCACCTCGACTGTTTGACCAACTCTTCTCGATACATGCTGAATACCAAGGACACATGGTACCCCTGATATATGGACTCTTGCCAAACAGAACAGAAGCGACCTACACAAGTGTGTTTGACTATATGAAACAGAGTGCAGCGACTCAAGGACTTCAGCTTTCTCCTGATGTGTTTCGGTTGGACTTTGAACGTGCACCTCACAACGCTGCCAGTATTGTATTTCCAAATACTCAGCTTCGTGGCTGCTTCTTTCATTACACCCAGTGCATCTGGCGTCGCACACAGAAAGTAGGCCTTGCTTCAGAGCACAAGTCAGACAACAATGTGAAAACGACTAGTGCGTCGAGATGCAGCTCTTAGTGCCACTGGATAAAGTTGAAGATGTCTGGCTTGATGCCATTGCAGACGCACCACTAGGTGAAAAGGCGACACCGCTGATGGATTACGTTACTACCACCTGGGTAGAAGGTCCATGGACTCTGCCAACTTGGAATCATTTTGAAAATGATGGACACAGAACTAACAATAATTTGGAAGGTTGGCACAACAAATTCAACAAGTATGCCATGAAGACACATCCTAATGTATTTGAGGTTGTGCGAATGCTACAAAAAGAACAGTCATCTACTGAAGTAAATATTCAGCAGATCCAAGAACAGCAGAGATCCCATCCGTAGACGTCGCTACCGAATCATCAACGCTAGATTCGATCCTTGAAGGCCGACCTTCTTGCCGACAGACTAACTGACTTGCATTACACAGACCATGTGTCAGAGTTGCTTCATCTTGGCTGAACATTCAGATTACTTTAGTGCATATATAGAGGAGTTTTGGCAAGAAGAAATAACTGGACTCATCTTTTATATATTTATTACTTATACACCTGCAGAAATCACTTATTTATATAAAAGAGACACACAAGTATATATATACTATATATACAAAAATGTAATATTGTGTGACATGTGATACATGCATGTTGTTATATTGACTGAATAAACATATTGTCTACTATATATATCACACTCTGTTTTTAATTGGTTTGTTAATCTCGAGAACACTGGGAGTGAAGTCACTCATGTAGAACATCACCTCCCTTTCCCCGGACTGTCGACAAGTAATTTGGACGGATTATGTCTTGTTGTCATCAGTCCGGGTATAAACCCTCTCTTCCGTGGATCTGGACAGACGGTGATAATAGCCCCCCTCTTTGCTCCCTTTCCTTATGATGTAATAGTTCCACTCAGTCCCGCTGTTTCACCCATACTGGAATAATGATTAAGTCTGCTTTGAGGAACGACATTTGCTCCATCGTGGTCGATCTTCAAGTGATGCTTCACACACGAATGAACCATGTCGAAGCTTTGTGTCTTCAGAATGGTGATCTATGATCCACTTCTCCCCACCCTGGTGGTTTAACGTTTGAGAGCTCACAAAACATTCATCGGAAATGATACTGTGGACGTCTTATATACAGTATAGAATGCAAACTTACTTTAATAGACTACTTGGGGCGGTGGGGTAGCCTAATGGTTAAAGCGTTGGCTCGTCACGCCGAAGACCCGGTTTCGAATCTCCACATGGGTTCTATGTGTGGAGCCCATTTCTGGTGTCCCCCGCCGTGATGTTGCTGGAATATTGCTAAAAGTGGCATAAAACCAAACTCAGTCAGTCAGTCAGTAATAAACTACTTACGACTTTGGAGTTGAATGCAAGAGGAGACAAACTGTTTGTTGGCACTTAATGGTGATGTTGTCTTTATTTCAGACGAACGTAGATTGATTCTCGTTGTGCTAATTTAAACTGAAAGTCCGCGTACATCCCCTGTGAGACACGCCATAAACTGAAATAACTGATGAGGAATGGTGCATGAACGGTCGTGACCGACGTTCCACGGATGCAATTCCAGGAGGTAACAAATTGAAGACAATTTCATCAGGTTGAGCAATATGTATCTAAAAACGAATATGTTTTAAAAGAAATTTTTAATTAACGTTTCTTCTTGTTTAGGAATAAATTGTGGATTCATGTCCTCCACCTTCAAATCTTTTTCTTCTTAAGCGGACTCAGGGTGATCAGAACAAGTCTCTATTCATCTATGATCGCCAGGCGGACAGGCCCGGTGAGATTGATGCATGCACACAATCATACTCTGGGATGGAATGTGCCTGGTCATATCAATCTCTAGTTGGTCCAGTACATGCCGCCGCAATGAGAACAACGAACAAAATCAAATCTGAAACACTGTCTTGACTCATATCCACAGATGTATTTTATCTTTCCGACTGTCTTGGATCGTAGAGTATGATTGTGTTCTAAAAGAGCTTTTTTGAAAGGGGTCCTGTACCTGAACTATTGCACCGCTACGAGTACTCTGTGGACTGAGAGTCAGTCTAATCGAGTTCCATGTAAGGAAGATACGAATATCAATGGAATTTCGTGAGTTTTGACGGACACCTGTACATTAAAACATAATCACTATTGCATTGCGAAGACTGCAATGTCCTTTGCTACCTCCATGTTAAAACAAGGCCATATCAGTTTTGGCGAGTGTTTTTATTCATGTTGAAATGTTTGTTTTCTTTGTGGGCAAGCACTACAGCTAGCTAGCTTATCTGGACCAGGATAAGCGCACGTACGCAAACACAAACATAAATAAGAAATTATTTTAATGAGCAATATCATGGCTAATTGAGACAAAAATGCAACATGATCGGTAACGAAGTCCTTATTTTCACCAGGTCAGTTCGTGAATCGCTAAGCTTGTGGAACTGTGTTGTGTTTAACTAATTGTCAATCATATCAGAGGAATAACTGTATCCTCACAGACTCACCCTCACCCCAGACTCCTCCATCCCAGCCATCCCCTTGTTCGTATGACGAATTACGTTTCTAGCTGTATAAGTAGAATCAGAAATGCATTTTATTAGTTACGAATCTTGGTGAGTGTGGAATGTAAAACAAGCCATTCCAACTGTAAGGTATATACTTACAATAATTACAGATTTGCAGCGATTTGATTTTTCCAGCAATAAAAATCATCATTTGGTTACATCCATGTAAGAGTCACGTCACTGCGAGCGGTTATGTTCAGCAGTGTGCACTGCCATCTAAAAACATGTGAAGATGTTGTAGTGAAACCTTTACTGACCCAGTTGGAGAACAAAGCTCAGAAAATGTAATTATTGATAGTCGTACATGGTGGTCGATTGGCAGCTTTTAAGATTTCATGAAAACAAACCACAAATCACTCCTCTACAGAGTATTTCAATAAGAACTGACCTACTTAGGACACTTTCTTGGATATTGCTATTGCTGAAATTAGTTTACAAGCCAGCTAGCCATGTTGCAATTCCATCGTGCAGTTGGGCCTCGTAATGGCGTATGGTATAATGCACACTTCCACTGTTGCCAACGCATGTTCCATAAAGCGTTCAAACTTTAAGATTACATATTCTACCCACAGAACAAGTCCAGCGATTGAGACGTCTATAGTATACGTTTAAAATAACACCCATGTATCGGGATACATGTTTCTCTGATTTATAACTGACGACGTAGATTATCCAGTCTGTAGTTGAAATCACAAAATTGTGCCTGTGTTTATAAAACCCTACAGTATTATCAAACAATCGTCTGGACGAATTACTGAGGCCCGCATCGAGCTTATGTTATCAACACGTTCACAGGATCAAATCAGGCCAGGATAACCGAGAGCAAATCAATTCAATCAAGTTTTCTTAGTGTTGCAGAGCCTAGTGGAGGATGATGAGAAACAATCGGGAGGAAATAATGCCAAAAGTAAGAATCCAGTTCGCTTTGCAACTGACAAATAGCACTATTTCGGTGACCTATCACCCCATTGGCGGAGGCTTGATTACTGAGGCGGAGTAATATGCATACTGGGCCTTATTTGATGTGCCGTTTTTCGCGTCCTTAAACGCTGGGTTTCAAATGTTACAAGCAATATTGTCGAAGTATGAAAGGTCATTGTTTAGCCTTTTCACAAGAGTTAATCAGGTTTGCTAAAATGCTGTTGGTTTAAGAGATTTCAGCCAACCAACACATGTGGATGGTGAATAAAATCCATGGTCGTGGCTTTACTTCAGGCCATCAAGAAAGTGAGAGGTGTCTACCGAAAGCCAAAATGTTTGAAAGTTTGTTCCTGACATTGAAATCGAGGTTAAGTTTCAAATCTCATCAAATAGTCAACAACACTTGGCACAGTTGAAAACATGTACTTGTTATGGATACTTTAATAATAAAAGGTATGTAAAAGACAGTATACGCCCTTGTCTGGTGGAATCTACGAATGAGAGAAACAAGACATGGTTTGGGTCCTTTCCAACTGTATACTTTCTGCATCTCCCTCTATAACAGGAGACCAACGGAATCAGGATGCCAGGCGCTCTGTCTTGGTTGACACACGTCATTGTATCCCAACTGCGTTGATCGATGCTCTCGATTTTGATCACTGGATTGTCTGGTTCAGACTCGATTATTTACAGACCCCGCCCTATAGCTGGAATATTGCTGAGTGCGGTGTAAAACTAAACTCACTCATTCACTCACTCACTTTCTTGGCCACTGACAATACTAATGGCTCTCTTGTTTCACAAATCCCTTAAAATGAATTAAATTATTTTTTTGGTCTCTTTGATGTGTTTGTTTTAAAGGACACTAGACTTACGCCAGTAGTCCTGGAAAGTTTCTGTTGAATCCATAAAACTGTTTCTCCAACATGAGTATAATATTAGTAATATACCTGGTTTACTCTTTGTGTTCCACTTGAAGATGTAGATTTATTTCCTCACTATCCGCGTCCACAGAAGAGGTCTAAACCATCCCGTGGGATTATAGGTTTAAATAGAGTGATAACCTGATAAGCAATGGCAACCGACTCGCCAAAATTGTTTACTTATCAGGTATTTTACTTATCCAAACTTATAAAACCTGTAAATGACAATATGCATGTCTATGATTGGGTAAATATTTTTGTTTTGTATGTTGTGTATGAGACAATCCAGTGATTAACAGCACGATTCGGAACAGATGACGCTGTGTCCAACCAAATCAGTGATCTTGACCAATAGTGATAATTAATGAAGAAAGGTGCATATCCGGTAAGTCGCCTCTTACAACAAGCATGAGTTACTGAAGATCAATATTCTAACCCGTATCTTCATGGGTAGACCACGAAAGAATGCCTTTCAACTTGAAAACATATTTTGGAATTCAAAGCATTAGAATACGTTAGTTTCAAATATTTCTAATCAAAATGCTTGGGGAAATTGATTTGGACAAAAAACCTGAGTAATCCACATGAATAATTGAATTTTTCTCTTTGCACAAAATCACACATACAACTATTCACATGACAAAGATCCAGATCGCACATTCAAACTGTAAAATCGAAATAAACGTAGAAACCTCATTAGCTTTCATGATTGTACCATTTTAAAAACAAGTGCTGTAAAAGTTGAAAGATACATCTGAATGTTGCCACACTACATTGGAAAGCTCACAACAAAGGACACTCACGCGCATGTTGTTGCGTCTGTATTTATGCCTGGTTTATCAGGTTCATGGTAGTGTTCATCCATGGATTTTACGAGAGAACTACACATTCGAAGCCTGCATCACTTCGGACTTACATCTCACATCAAGCCACGGTATGTCTGGAATACTGAAGCAGTTTGTAAATTTATATTGCGCCAAATCCTGTCTGTGCTATTTCAAGTTGCACTCAGCAATAGTCCAGCTATGTGGTCAATGAACCAGGCCCAGTCTCTGACGACAATCATGGGTTGCTGGGACCCGATCCACACTGCGTTCGTAACGTTACGACCTGTCGTAACTCTATAGTTTATAGGAGGTTTAAGAATGTCCTATAGCAACGCACGTTTGGTATACTGGGAACCCGAAGATTAATTGTAACTCGGATCTTCACGGGTAGTGCCAAATCGAAAGCGGGGAGCATGCTCCAAACGTTATACTATTTTAACCACAGTCAGTATTGGAGTTCATTGGGGAGAATACCACCGCAGCTGCCAATGAAATCTCACAGACACCCTTTTAACTGTTTCGTGAACAGAGCAAGAGCCCAAAAGGGAGGATACACTATATATGCTAGTCATTTAAGCCACATATGCTTAGATTAGGACAGAAACAAAGGTCAAGAAATTCTCAAGAATCAACCTTCCGAGACGGCATCCCCCTTCCATTCTCTGCCGAACAGAAGGAGTGGTGGCGCCAGCAACTCTTCTCGTGATGACGAATTAGGGATGTTCTCATCAGGTTAGCGCAAATTTCACTATCACCCAGGGAAATAAAACGAATTCGAATTTTGATTATATGTTAATTGAGGAGGGGCATCGGATAGTTCATCAAATTGACTCATCATGGAGTGAAATCGTTACCAGTGGTCGATAGGCTTTGGGATAAATGAAACGTTATCAGCTGAATTGTGTTTGTGTTTTTATCAAAGTCCTCGTCCGATTGTGACCAAACGATACGTCTCACCTTCATTCAACATCATCAGTCATATGCTCGAAAATTTCGTTTCGTTTAATTTTGATTAATTTTAAATCTAAAACGTTTTTCATTACTCATCTCATGGACTATTGATTTGGTGCATCACTATACCAAAACGGCAATTTGACATGGGATTTTACTTCAGAACAAAGGAAATTCTTAAATACTGATTTGGAGGAATTGAATTTTTTCTCTCCTAAAATTACATCGCTTTAAACGGAAAGCGTCCCTCGTGCTACTTTCTTGCAATTGTTTTAACGCCTCGAGCGACTTTTGGTTCCTCTTGTCAATTCTCATTCATGCAATTTTAGCAAAAGATTTCTCGAAACAGTTGTCAAAAAGTGTCTATCACCTTGAGATCCGCTCTGAGTGAGACAAAACTGATAATTATGTCGGAAGGAGGTGGGCTTATAGCCGGGTTGGAGATGTCAATTCTCTGATTATTGTTGTAGGGTTAAAACCGGTAAATTGAGAACCGTATTGCGATGATCGATGATTGTATGGGAGATAAAAAATGAGTAATATCCTGGCTAATTGTGACAAAAACGTAACATGAGCGGTAACTAATTCATTATTTAGCCACAGATCATTTCATGAATCGCTATGCTTCTGGAACTGTGTTGCGTTTATTTTATTGTCAGTCATAACGTTATCCTTGGATTCCTGTAATATATTTCTTTGTTATATGAATGTGTATGGCGTATTTTCCAAGTTTGAAAGCTCAAGTGCATTTCGGGCATGAAACATCTAAATGTCATCCCAGGCATTTTATCAGTGTTTGTTCGATTTTCCTTTTCAGACCCTTTTGAAGTGTACATCCTAAAGAGCCTGTGAGTGAGTGAGTGAGTTAGTTAAGATTTAAAGTCACATCGGCAATATTTTCAACCATAAACAGCCTGTGAGGGTCACCTCACACTGGGTACGCGTGTAGTGCTTCATGCAGAGAGACAAAAACGTAACATAAGCAGTAACAAAGTCATTATTTAGTCCCACATCATTTCATGAATCGATATGCTTCTGGAATTGTGTTGCGTTTATTTTATTGTCAGTCATATCACAGGAATAACTTTATCCTGGGATTGTGGTTATATATTCCTTTGTTCTATATGTATGGCGTATTTTCCAAGTTTGAAAGCTCAAGTGCAATTCGGGCATGAAACATATAAATGTCAACCCAGGCATTTTATAAGTGTTTGTTCCATTTTCCTTTTCAGCCCCCTTTGAAGTGTACAACCTAAACAGCCTGTGAGGGTCAACCCGTGTAGTGCTTCATGCAGAGAGGCATGTTGAGACTCCACGTACGTTACATGAGCTACATTGGCAGCATCAAAGCCCAATAAGCCCTCAGAAAGTACTTTTCAGAACGTGGTCACCTCTCACAAATAGTTTGTTTGGTATAAAATTGGTTTGTGTGAACAATAAGAAACAGAAAAACAATAACCACTGTCACATTTTGAGAAAAGGGTGGTTACCTTTGAATGAGCGTTTTTTGATAATATCCTAGAAAATAAAAAGTACACTGGGAGCAAATCGTCACGTTATAAACTTCCGGTCAAAAGGAACAAATTCTATACCTTAGAAAATAGGATTTGACAAAGCAATAATGGTAACATCTAATGGTAACATCTATTGGAAACACTGAAACTGTTCGGTCCAAAACACTGCTATCACACCCATATCATTAAAAAATCATGTTTGCTTCAGGATTTGTGTTTATTTCCAAAGGTAAGTGGTATTCTAAGTAAACTTAGGCTCAGTATTATTCGTTACACTGCTATATTGAATCTAACAAACCCAAGTAGAAGGTCACCTCAGCTAACCTGAACCAATCAGAACACAGCTTACCAAATCGCGAAACTTAACATTCGCAGATACCATTTGAACCTTTACCTCAAAAACTCGAACGATTCCGAATACTATTTTCAGCACGATCGCTTCCAAGTGATACACATGGAGGACGCAATGAGTAATCAGTCACAGAAAATAGCGGTTTTTGTCAATATTCCAGGATGTCATCTTGCGGAAATATAAGCTAATAGTAACCATGTCATTAGAAACTCCTAAGCGTATATACTGCTGGTCAAATATCTGTGTTTTATGCGGATTTTCGCTTATCGATAGATCAGTGTCAGCGACCAGGGAAGAAAAAATCCCAAAACCGCTTTGTAAGTTCCGCTGAACCCTAACAAGCAGTCGTTGTCTGATGGGTTAAATCTGTTCGGCCATCTTGCGTTTGATTGCATGGTCATAGTTCGCTCAATGGTTAGCTGACGTGACCTTCTACTAGTTTTTTTTAGACTCAGTATAGCAGTATAACAAATAATACTGAGCCTAAGTTTACTTAGACTGGGACAGTGGGAACCTGTGTCAATGAATTTGGTAAAAACAGGTTCTGTTCAACAAAGGGTCAGCTGCCATCAATGATCTGCATCTGTGTTCAAAAGAAGAATCAAGCACAAGAATCGTTTTGCCCGTCACGTTTTGTACTCACATACCAAATAGCTGCATTTCAAGCTGTCCACTGTTTGGGACGAAGTCCGGAGGCCGAAACGGATATTGCATCACATGAGGGTGTCTTCGGTGTGTTTGGGACATTACGTTGGCAAGGCCTCTGGTACTGTTTTCAATCTAGTAACGTTTTAATAAAAAACTCAGTCCAAGTTTGTGTTTGGGTCTTATGCAATTTAGTAACGTTTTAATAAAAATATCAGCAGATGCATTCTTTTGGCCACATGGCTTTTAAGTGATAAGTCTCTGCATTCACATGGACCTAACATTCCCAATGCACACTCACCTGAAACAGCTGATTAGACGTGGCCATTAAGTAACAATGAAGCCAGGGACATTAATCAATAGCTTCCCCATCTATATTAACCTGTCTGAGAGCAGACTAGAAAGGCCGCCAAATCCCTCGGTTCCTGTACTGATGTGATCTGTGTCAGTAGTGATGACCCTCAGCTTGCCTCTACCCCCGGGGATCTGGACTGACGGTGATAATAGCCCCGCTCTTTGTCCCCACGCACTGTGGTGTAATAGCTCTTTTCAGCCTCGCTATTTCAACAATGCTGAATTAAAGAGCAAGCCTACTTTGAGTCACAGTGCCACGCCTTTCGCTCCATCATGGCCGGCCTTAAAGTAACGTTTCACACACGAACAAACCCTTTCAAAACTCTTGTGTCATCAGAATGGTGATCTATGTGATCTACACTTCTTTACTCCCTGACGGTTCAACATTTGTGAACTCACAAACACTGTATCGGAAATGATACGGTTGATGTCTTCTGGAATGCGTTCTGACACGTGATTTAAGCAATCTTAGTTCAACATACTGTCAACGACTTTTGGGTTTAATGCACGAGGAGACAAACTGATTGTTGTCACTAAATGGTGATGTCTTTATTTGGGGGAATATCAGATGAATTGATTCTCGTTGTGCTAATTTAAGCTGAAAGTCCATACACGTTTCCCTGCGAGACACGCCATAAACTGAAATAACTGATGAGGAATGGTCTTAGAACGGCAGGATCACATCTGTTAACTCCTTAACTGTACACGGTCCTGACGGACGTTCCATGAACACAATCCCAGGAAGTAACAAACTGAAGGGAATTACCTCAGGTTGAGCAACTTGGTTCTAAAAAATGAACGTGTGTTAGAAGAATGATACAGTTTTTTTAGAATGAGCTGTAGATTAATGTCCTCAGCCTTCAAATCTTTGCTAAAGTTAAAAGGGCTTTGTTGAAAGGGACCCTGTACATTAACTGTGCAATGAGTACTTTGTGGTCTGAGACATGCATCGATGCTCCGTGCAAGGAGGCTACAAATGTCAATGGAATTTCGAGAGTCTTTGTATTATTTTGTGAAACGGACGCCTGTACAATAAAACATAATCAGTATTGTTGCATTAAAACTGTAATGCCTTTTGCTGCAATTATGGTAAAACAAGGCTTTGTCAGCTTGGTTCCTGGTCCAGGTGGTTCCTTTCTCTGAGTGTGGTATCCAGTTTGGAATGCTGTTTGGTGTCTTGTTTGGCTAGCACTACAGCTAGCGAGCTAGTCTGTATATGTTAACAAACACATACCAACACACTCAGACTCACATTCAGAGAGCCCCGCGTGCCAGGTCCAAACACAGAGATAGGCACTCGCAAAAGAACGGGTGCGCATGCCTCCGTGCAGGAACAGTATAGACGTGATGTTTCTCCTCATCCAACCTCACCCATACCCATACTCACCCAATCCACATTCCTTCACCCAAGCTCACCTACATGCCATCACCTTGGATGCATTACGAATTACAGTGTTTATCGCTACATAGGTAGATCAAAATTAATAAATTACATGCATGTAAAATGGCATTACATGTCAACGTAACAAGTCAGTGAGTGAGAATGGTTTTACGCCACTGTTAGCAATATTCCAGCAATATCAAGGCGGGGGGACACCAGAAATGGGCTTCACATGTTGTTCCCATGTGGGGAATGGAACCCGGGTCTTTGGCGTGACGAGTGAACGATTTAACCACTGAGCTACCCCACCGCCCCAAACAACGTAACAAGTCATTCCAGTAATAAGCAGTATTACTTACAAGAACTACAGATTTTGCAGAGTTCGTTTTCCAGAAATATATATTTTTGTAGCATCATGGATGGGTTACGTCCGGGTAAGAGTCACATGACTGAGGGCTGTTGTGTTGAGCAGTGTACATGACTACTGCAATCGAAAAACAAAACATACGAGCAGATGTAGAAGTCAAAACTTTATTGGCTCAGTTGGAGAAACAAAATACAAATGTTATTATTGATAATTACACATAGTGGTCGATGGCTGCATTTAAGGCTTCTTGAAACGAAACCAAAAGTCACTACCTTATACAGTATTTCAATAAGAACTGACCCATTTAGAAAGCTTTCTTGAAAATTTGCTATTGCTGAAATTAATTTACCAGCCAGCTCGCCATGTTGCAATTCCATCGTGCAGTTGGGCCTCGTGGTATATGGTATAATGCACACGTCCACTCTTGACAAAAACATTTTCCATAAAAGTTCAAGCTTCAAAATTTCATATTCTCCAAACAGAACAAGTCCGGCAATTTAGACGTCTATTCTACGCGTTAAATATAACACCCATGTATCGGGATACATGTTTCTCTGATTTATAACTGACAACGTAGATTATCCAGTCTGTGGTTGAAATCACAAAATGGTGCCTGTGTTTATAAAACCCCACAGTATTATCAAACACACCTCTGGACGAATTACTGAGGCCCGTATCGAGCTTATGTTATTAACACGTCCCGAGGATCCAATCAGGCCTGGATAACCGAGAGCAATTCAATTCAATCAGGTTTTCTTAGTGTTGCAGAGCCTAGTGGAGGATGATGAGAAACAATCGGGAGGAAATAATGCCCAAAAGTAAGAATCCAGTTCGCTTTGCAACTGACAAGTAGCACTATTTTGGTGACCTATCACCCCATTGGCGGAGGCTTGATTACTGAGGCGGAGTAATATGCATACTGGGCTCATTTGATGTGCCGGTTTATGTGCGTCGTTAAACGCTGGGTTTCAAATGTTATAAGAAATCGACCACTTTTGTCAAAGTTTGAAAGGTCAACCGGATAATTGTTTTTTGGCAAGTGCTAATCAGGTTTGCTAAAATGCTGTTGGTTTAAGAGATTTCAGCCAATCAAACACATTTGGATAGTGAATACAATCAATCCATGGTCGTGTCATTACCTCAGGTAGGCAAGAAAGTGAGAGTTGAAGAAACCAAATGGCAACAAACGTCTCAGTCCACAACGTACTCACTGCCGTATGATACAGGGCCCCTTTTACGGTCAGAGCCTTAGCATTTGTAATTATTGTACTGATGTTGCTGTTAGAACACAATCATCCTCTTCGATCCAACATTTGGAACGTTAAGATACCTCTGTGGATATGGACCAAGACAGTGTTTCCTATTTGGTTTTGTTGATCGGTTGTTTAAATCCCCTAGTTCCTACCTGACCATCTAGTGAATGTGGCACATTCCACACCATCAGAGTATAGTTGTGTGCAAGCATCATTGGCGAGCATAGATGAATAGAGACTAGTTCTGATCTGATATCCCAGGGAAAGCTAAGTCCTCTTCTGAAGAAAACGATTTGAAGGTTGAGGACATAATGATACAAATCATTCTCAAACAAGACGAAACGTGCATTATATCATTCTTCTAAAACGTATTGGCTTTTTTAGAACCAAATTGCTCAACCTTAAATAATTCCCTCGAATTTGTTACCTCCTGGAATTGTATTCACGGAAAGTCGGTTACGACCATGTACAGTTAAGGAGGATAACAGATGTGATTCTGCCGTTCATGGACCACCCCTCATCAGTTATTTCAGTTTATGGCGTGTCTCACAGGGGATGTACGCGGACTTTCAGTTTAAATTAACACAACGAGAATCAATCTGAGTTTATTTTTTTAAAAATAAGACAACATCTCCACTGAGGGCCAACAAACAGCTTGTCTCCTCCTGCATTCAACTTCAAAGTCGTAAGCAGTATATTATTATTTCTTAAGGCACGTGTCAGTTAACATTCTATAAGACATCAACCATATCTTTTCCAGTGACTTTGTTTGGAGTTCACAAACGTTTAACCTCCAGGGAATTGAGAAGTGTATCATATATCACCATTCTGAAGACACGGAGCATTGAGATGGTTCATTCGTGTGTGAAGCATCACTTAAAGGTCGACCACGATGGAGCGAATGTCGTGCCTCAAAGCAGACTTGATCATTAATCCAGTATTGATGAAACAGCACTACTTAGAGGAACTATTACATCACAGGAAGAGGGGACGGAGATGGGGCTATTATCACCGTGAGTCCTGATTCACGGAGGAGGGGCAGACTGATGGGTCATCAGTACTGACACGTGACACAGCAGGGCAGGAAACGAGGGTCGGGACGTTCCAGATATTTGACCGTCTTTCCGTCAGACCTCAGACAGGTCCATGGGAAGCTATTATTAAGTTGTTCACTGGTCACGAGGGGGCATGGGTTGATGTAC